GCCTCATGTACTCATAGGTGGGACTTTTTGGAGGTGCCTGGATCAAGAGTATGTGAATGTGGATTAAGGGTGTGTGATCAGTACACTGATTGGTTTAGCATTGTTCTAGGTGTGAATAATAGAAAGGCCCACCTTGGGTGGCACTACCTAAAAGGGTTGTATCTTGGATGGGATAAAAGAGGAAGGGAGGCTTGCTGCTTCCCTGCCTCCTGCCTGCTCTTCCAATGGACTGTTTCTCCTTTGCCATGCTGCCTTGCCTTGGAGCCAGCTGACTATGGACTGAAACCTGTACAAACTGTGAACTGAAATAAACCTTTCTTCCTTTAACTTGTGGGTGTTGGGTATTTTGTCCCAGCAATGAGAAAGTATCTAAGACAAATATTACCAAAGAAAAAAGATTATTTGTAATTTAAATGTAAAACTAAAACACTGGTTAATGAAACTATGCATATTTAATAAAAAGCAAAACTAGCCTGAAAGACCCAGAATTTTAAAAATGCTAAAAAATAAGGCATAAATCTGCATAATTTCCCTTCTGTCTTTCCCCCTTCAGCATATTCTCTTCCTGACCTACCTTTACGGGCTTACAGGAAAATGATTTCCATCATCCATTTGACCTCAAATACCCAGAACAAAATACTTGCTATTTTGCAAGGATTCTTTTGTTGGTAAGATTTAGATATCATTATGTCTAATAGCCATAGTAATTTTGACACTGGTGATAAATTTAAATTCTTCCACTGGTTCTTAAAGAATTTGATTTTTTTTTAAGACAAAGTCTCACCATCTAGTTCTTGCTGTCCTTAAACTCACTGGATGCTTTCTTATTTAATCTTCATATAAATACTATAAAATAAGTATTATTTCATATTACAGACAAATGGAGACCAAGAGAATTTAAATAACTTACCCATTATCACACTCCTAATGAGTAGTGAAATCTGGGTTTTAATTTAGGTCTTGACTCCAAGTTCAGTGCTCTTTCCACTTTTCCCTATATCGAGGACAATGCCTTTTTTATTAAAAAAGCAAAAATGGCTTTTTGAATCAGTGCTTTTATTTAACGCCTCTCTAAGTTACTTTCTCATTACTGAGACACTATAGTCAACACCTACAACTTAAAGGAGGAGAAGTTTATTTTGTTTGGTTTGCTGGGGAGTAGAGAAATATACCTTTCCAGGCCATACCAAGGTGGGACCAAGCAGACCTGATCTTCTAACAGCAACGAAGCTATGAACTCATCAGTGGACTGATGAGTATAGTGTCCCCATAATCCAACACCTTTCAAACACTTGAGTCTTTTGGGGAACCCACTAGATCTAGATCATAACGTTCTACCCTGGCCCCAAAAGACTCATGCACATCTCTTTAGGAAAAATGCATTTAGTCTATCTCTAAGAGTCACCAGATTTTCAACAGTTTCACCACTGCTGAAAAGTTCAAGTCTAAAGTCTCCTGTGAGACTGAAGACAAACTCTTAGCCACAAGCCCCTTTAAAAAATCAAAAAAGAAAGCTAAACACTTCTGATATACAATGGTACAGGGTAAACATCCCCATTCCAAAAGGTAGAGATAGAGGACAGAAAGAAATGAGAACAAAGCAATACACGAAATTGTATAGTTTTGTGTCCAGAACTAGGGCAAGTTGTGGCAAGATGTGAACTTCAAAGGGGTTGCATGGTCTTCCTCTGATGGCATTGCTGGTTGTAGCCCTGATGGCTTGTCTTGGGCTGGGTTTGGTCACTGCCCTGTGGCTTGAGACATTCCATGTTCCTGGCTTCTCTAATTTCCTGGGGTCTCTACTGTACTTTTGTCTTCACTCTAACCGCTTCATACATTGCCCTCAGAGGAACACACTGCTTGGCCTCGCGGCTTTCTGAAATCTGAATGGACGCCTCCCTAACCACACAACACTTGCATTCTACAAGCCCATAAAACCAGAATCTTGTGGATGCTGCTAAGTTCTACTGTCAGCAGTAGCCAGGCCCCATTGAATCATAGCTGCATCAGCCTCTGAGTGCCCAAATGGCCAAACACTATGAAATGAATTCCTGGAGATCAATGCCCTAGATGGCCCTTCTTGAGCAGAGTGCCCTGGGACTCTTTTTAAGGAAAGCTTTTTTCACCCTTGAGCCCTTGAAGGGTGGAGTCTTGGGTATTTTTGAGATGTCTTCACAGCATCTTTGGTATTTTAAGTAATGCAGAGTACCTAGCTTCTTTTTTTTTTTTGCTATCGGAGATCGAACTCGGGTCCTTGCTCTTGCAAGGCAGGCGGCGGAACCACTAAGCTAAATCCCCGGCCCTCTAGCTTCTTTTTAATGTCAATCTTTTCAGCAACTATGTTCTTCAATTTTGCAGGTGTTTCCTTTCTTATAAAACTGAAAACTTTTAAAGTGGGGTTTTTGTTCTGATTCTCACTGTAAACCTGGCTGAAAGCAGCCAGAATTTCCTATATGAGTGCCTGAACATCAGGCTGCCTTAAAATTTTGTCTGCCAGATTAATTAATGTACCACCCTTAATCTCAGTTTCCCACAAAGTCTCAGGACACGGGCAACATGTAGACAAATTTTCTGCCAGAGCACAACACACAGAGCCTGGAGTCCACTTGCCAGTGGGGTACCTGTTTCCAACTGAAACCTTTTGAGCCTAGCCTTTACTGCCTGCATTCTATGAGAATTCTGGTATTCTGAGCTTTGACCAGAAGCTCCCATGAGGCTCAGTTTACAGCATTCTAGAGCTTCTCTCACTGGCATCTCCAAACCTTCTGAAAAACACCTCCAAAGGCTTCTGAACCACATGGTCAGTTAATCACAGCAATGACCCAACTTCACTGGTGCCAAAATCAGTCTTAGTCACAGTCTCATCACTGAGATATTATAGCTGACACAACTTAAAGGCGGAGAGGTTTATTTTGTCTTCAGTTACAGTCTCTGGTCAGGTGGCTCCAAGGTAAAAATGGCATGATGGAAGGTCTGCCAAGGAAAGCTGCTCACATCACGGTGGTCAGGAAGTAGAGAGAGAAGGAAAGAGCCAGAGAAGGAGTTACACTCTTCAATATTATACTCCCAGTAACCTGCCTCTTCCGACCAGACCCCACCTAAAAGCAAGTCAGCTATATACTTACCAGTGGATCCACTGATGTGTATAGCAGCCCTGAGGTTTGGGCGGAGGGGACACTTGAAATCTAAGCTATAACAACCCTTGTATTCAGAGACACAAACGTGTAATTTCATGCCTGGGAGCAAATGTATCCTATTTGTAAACTTGTCTATCAAGATCCTATTTGTAGAAATGCTGTGTATATTTGTGTGTGTGTGTGTGTGTGTGTGTGTGTGTGTGTGAGAGATGCTTTTTTAAATACTAGAAATAATGATCTTTGTTCTAGGGTCCCTGATTAGTACTGAGCCTTTAGAATTTTTCTTTTTTTCCTTAAATGGTTCTGGGGCTAAAACTCAGGACCTTCATGCACTATACCACTGAACTACATTCCCTGGCCCTTCTTCAAAATTTTATTTTGAGACTGGGTTTCACTAAGTTGCCTGGGCTGGCCTTGAACTTGGAATCAACTTCCTAAGTAGCTGAGATTACAGGTTCAGGCCACTATGGGTGGCAGCTATTAGAATTTTATTGAGTGACTGGTATGTGCATATGTGGTCTCATGCATGATTCCTTCCAGCAACTTACAATGTAGTTGGGAAAATAGTGCAAAATAAGCGCCAAAAGATTAGAAATAAAGTTACTTGACAGTGGTAAAAATAACGGTACTACCTTCCATATATACATGGTGCTTTACAGATGACCCAGAGCTTTGCCATTTATTAATAATTTATGATGTATAGAATACATACTATGTATAAAGATCTGTATTGGGTATATAACAGTAAATCAAACAGACTTCTGCCCTTTTTGTTATGATTAGAATCAGAAGGAGAAATCAGACAAGATACTTGCAGTTATTTTAAAAAAAAACTGTTCTTTTTTCCCACTAACAAAATTTTTCCATTAGCAAAATTCTGTGGATTTTTCTGTTTCTCCTGGCAACCCTAACAATATCCAAAAGTTGTTTGAAGCTCCAGAATTACAAAATTCCCCTGAAAACAGAATGTAGTGAACAGTTAACCTAAAGGTGACAAATTGTCAGCATATTGCCAGTAGTGGAAGAATGTGACCATGGCATGCATCTGGTAGTACAGTAGTAGGCTTTTTGGTTTAAGGAATATCCTAGAGACATCCAAGAGATGCAATGCTTGTCCAGTTACTTCTCTATAGTCCCCAGTCTGCACAATAACTTAAAGTGCTTTTAAGCAACTCGTTAAACACTTGAAATATTTTCACAAAAATTAGTAAGTCCAGAGAATGCTTAGGAAATACCTAACATTCTCCCCCCTCTCCCTCTCTGCTCTTTCTTTGTTTCTCTCTTCTTTTCTCTGTCTCTTGCTTGCTCCCTTTCCCTCTTCCTCTCTCTTTTGTTACTATAGATTGAACCCAGGGCCTTTGCTCTGAGCTACATCCTCAGTCCCTTTACCCCCCCCCAAAAGAGAAAAATTTAAATTCGGAAACAGGGTCTCACTAAATTGCTCAAGCCAGGCTTGAACTATTTAAAACTTCTTCCAGAAACTAGATCCCCACAATAAACTGCCTTTTAAAAAGTACTATCATATTTACAGTTAAATTATATAGGTAATAACAGATGTTCTACATTTTTATTATCCAATAGAAAAATAGTGTGAGAGCTGCCTATGTAATTTAACTTTTGCTAATGGACACATGCATAGAATGAAAAAGAAACAGATGAAATTGATTTTAATAGTATATATATTTAATGCAACATATAGAAAATATTTTAATGTGGAGTCAATATAAAAAATTACTCCAGACTCCATATATTTTACGCTTTTATACTAAGAAGGCTTCTAATAATTATGTATTATTGAGTAAAGTGTGTATTTTGTATTTACACCACATGTTAATTGGGACTAGCCACATTCCAGGTGTCCTTGAACAGCATCCCTCAGTCATTTTCTGACCCATTTGGAGGCAAGAAAACCAGTATGTCATTGAAATGATGTCCAAATGCTCTGAGTCGGTAGACACCATACATCATTACTTCCTTCTTTTGGGGTATCAGTCCATTAAAAGTAATAGCTATATCAGAACAGCAGCCTTTTACAATTTGCTGAGGGTTACTAAGCATTGCCTCTTGAATAAGATCTAAAATTGGTTTTGTATTAAATACATCTCTTCCTTCATTAACCTTTGCATTTTCTGCAAAAATGCCAGCATATTTCAGGCAGATTGCCAGCTGCTTATCAAAAGATAAATTCCAAATCACACTTCGATTTGCACACATTTCATACTTACTGAGAAGCCTGTGAAATCTCCTCAGCGACTCTACACTTAAGACAATTCCTCCTTCCATAGTCACATATTCAAGGTCTCCAGATGTAATGGTGTGGCCCAGATAGAAAGGTTGTGATGCATCCTTTGTCAGCAGAAGGTACTTTAAATTTTCAATGACAGCAAACGTGGTGGGAAGTGCCAGAAAGTACCACTTGAAGTTGTCGCCATACCTTTCAAAGACATCTTTGTAAGTTTCCCTCATAAGTTTCCACTTGTCATTTCTGTGTTGAGCAAATGATTACTTTTAGCACCGTAGAGCTCTGCTTGGTCACAGTGTTTGGGCCAAGTCTCTCTTAGCATAGCCCAATAACTCTCATCTTCGGGTTCTCCGAGAATGATACAAAAAACACGCATACTTTTGCTGAGTTCCGTTCGTGTCACTTGTGAGATATTGAAGAACTCTTTTCCGTTTGGTGGCCTAAGGTGATGGTGTTTGTGGTCTCGAGTTTGACCTTCGTGTCGACTGTGGATTTGCCTAACCATAATTACCAAAGCCCAGAAAATGCTCCCAATCAATATACCCTTAAGAAATGATGCCCAAGGAGCGGAAACCATTTCTCTAGTGGGAGCACCGCGCACCAATCTATGGAAGACTGGGGACGATCTCGGTGGCCTGGGTGATGTGGAGCGCTTCCCGGCAGGGCTAATCTAGCTGCGGGAGGCCCTTCTCGGTGGTATTGGAAGGAGGCGGGGCCTGGGCCAGACATCTGGTCGGCCAGTCTGACCAGGGGCTGCTGGCCCTGGAGGTATTCTAGGAGTTCTGGGTGGCAGACTACCAGCTTGGAAAGGTGAAAATGAGCACTGATACAGTCAGACGGCTGTAAAATTGGCCAAACTTTCTTGAGAAAAAAGAAATGGAAACTGAGTTTTACTTCTTGACTTTGGTATTCAATATTTGGTACACATCCTTTAAGTTAATTAGCATTGGGCCCTTTAAAATTTTTACATATAATATTATTTTGGTATATGTGTGTCTGTTTGTGTATGTGTGTTTAAAGAGTCTCTTCCATTACTGTTTACATCGATCTGAGTGTTGACTAAAACATATCATCTGTGGGGTTTATGAAAATACACCACTTCCCCAATACCATTGTAACTTGTTTGTTTTTTGAGACATGGTCTCACTACGCAGGCCAGGCTGGCTGGGAACTTACTGTTTAGCCAGGCTGGCCAGTAACTCTCAGTGATCCTCCTGCCTGAGCCTTGTGAGTGCTGGGACTACAGCCATGCACCACCACTGCCTGCTCCTCATGATTTTTTGATCAAAGCATCAAATATGACACTGCAAGTCTTACTTTTCTCCTAAACTTGATGAATGTTCCTTTGTTAATATTACGTTATTTTAAAAGTACAAAAACTTTGGGATTTTTGTTTTATCAGTGTTTGTTTGTTTGTTGGATTTTTGAGACAGGGTATCAGGCTGTCTCTGAACTTACTATGAAGCCCAGGATGGCCTTGAACTCATGGCGATTCTCCTGCTGTAGCCTCCCAAGTGCTGGGATCACAGGTGTGTACCACCACACCTGGCTTGTTTCATCAGTTTTTCAGTATACATAGAGCCTTTAATGTGTTAATTGTATGTAAGTCATTTCCAATGAATCACATTAAAAATTCTTTCAAAATTGATGACATTGGGAAATTTAAAGTATTTTTCCAAGAGGGAAATATGAATTTGTGTATTTTTTATATTTTCCTTCACCTTACAGATGCAGCAGCTTGAGAGACAAGTTATTGATGCTGAACGTCAGGCAGAAAAAGCTTTTCAACAGGTACAGTATAATTTTAGTTAAAATTTTTTTCTGTCTCTACTCATGTAAAGATTGTTTTGCCAAGAATAGGAGGATTGTTGCCAGCCCTTCTCTATATTCTATTATTTGAACTATTCTTGAGTTTTATCCATACAGAAAGAAGAGAATCTAACTGTATTTAACACATTTTCAAAAGGAAAAAAAGGATTCAATTTTCTATCTTCTGAAAAGTCAAATGACTTGTAATAATCCTAACCATAATGAAATTTTATGTATTAATATATTTATAACAGCTTTATTTATAATAATTGAAATAGTATGAATACCATGATATAGAGGAATAAGTGAACTATGTCAGCACCATTTTTACAATGCCATTAAAAATAGTTGTTACCAAGGATATATATTAACATGTTAAAATGCTTAGAATTATATTAGGAAAATCATATATAAAATTGTGTACTTCTTATGTTAATATTTGTGGGAAAGGAAAATCAAACCTAAGTTTTTTTTTGAAAGGCTAAGAGGAAACACCCCCAAATTTTAGCAGAAGTTTGTTTGAATGTTGGAATAATTTTTTTCCCCTACATTTTTCATACTTTCTAGTTTGTACTACTTCTTTTGGTGATGTTTTGATAAGTTACTTAACCCTTTCTTGGCCTTGCCAGTAGTAAAATGATTGGTTTGGATGGGCACTCTCAGCATTAAAGTTTATCTAATGATCTTGAATTCATAGCTTCTCATGTTATGAAAAGATCTCTGTCATATTAAATTGAATAAAGAATTTCCAAAGGCTTAAACACAAAACTCTTTCTCCTAAGATGTGAATATTAAATTTTTTCTTTCTCTAAGTTTGTCATGTTTTTATCTTTTTAAACCAACATACTACTGAACCTTGTTTTCACCTGAAAGATTTAATTTCACGTAGTAGATTGAGTGGCCTAACACATTTCTGAATAAGCCCAGTCTAACCGAATCCTTTCTTAATTGTACTTGAAATCTTAAAACTTTATTGTGCATAACTCCAACCACATACATAAGTAGAAAATATTGTATAATGAACTCCCATCTTCATCAGTTAGCTAACTCATGCTTGTCTGTACTTCCACCCACTGTTTCCCTTCAGCCACTCCCAAACTGGATTATTTTGAAGCAAATCCCAGACATCATATAATTTCACCCATGAGTGAAATTTCAGCAACTAATCTGAAAGGACTTAAGAAAACATTAAAAAGTACCATCATCAAACCAAAAAATTTCCAGTAATTCTTCACACATCAAAGATCTACTCAATACATATTCAGAGTTCCCCAAACACTTCATAATTCCTTCTCTTTTGGCCTTTAGTTGAGGTAAAATTCACATGACATAAAATTAACTTTTTTTTTTTTTGGTACTGGGGATCGAACTCGGGACCTTGTGCTTGCAAGGCAGGCAGCAGAACCACTGAGCTAAATCCCCAGCCCAAAATTAACTATTTTTAAAGTGAATAATTCACAGTGCTGTAGAGCCACCATCTCTAATTCCAAAATATTTCCATCATCCCAGAAGGAAACCCTGTGCCCATTAAGTGTGTCCCATTCCCTCACCCATCCCCCAGCCAAACCTTGACAACCACCAATCTCTTTTTGTGTCTATGAATCTTCCATTCTGGGTATTTCTTTCTTTCTTTCTTTTTTTTTTTTTGGTATCGGGGATTGAACTCAGAACCTTGTGCTTGCGAGGCAGCCAGCAGCACCACTGAGCTAAATCCCCGGCCCTGGGTATTTCTTATTGATCGATTCATATAATATGTGACCTTTTGTTTCTGGCTTCTTTCATTTAGTAGAGTGTTTTTGAGGTTCATTCATGTTGTAACATGTAAATTACAATTTGTTTATCCATTCATTTATTGATGGAGATTTGGGTTGTTTCTACATTTTGGCTATTGTGATAAGTGCCTCCATGAACAGGCATGTATATGCAATCTGTTCAAGTACCTGTTTTTAATTATTTTATTTATCTTCCATTTTTCTTTTTTCTTTCCTTTTTTTTTTTTTTTCAGTTTGTTTTTTGAGACTGAGTCTTGCTATGTAGTTCAGGCTGGCCTTGAACTAACTAGGTACCCTGGGCTGTCCTCAAACTCATGGTGATCCTCCTGCCTCAGCCTCTCAAATGCTGGGATTACAGCCATGTGTCATCATGGTCAGCTTTTTCCCCCTTGTTTTTAATAGTTGATTTGTTCAAATCAGGATCTGAAGTAGATTGACATATTTCATTTGATTCTTTTTTTTTTTTTGGTACCGGGGATCGAACTCGGGTCCTTGTGCTTTTGGGGCAGGCAGCGGCACTGCTAAACTAAATCCTCGGTCCTCATTTGATTCTTAAAGACTTTAATTACAGAGTCACCCTTTCTTGCATTCTTCCTGCTTAACTTCCGTTTTTTTCTTTTGATTTATTTGTTGATAAAGCCAATTTATTTATTGTTGTCCTGTCAAGCTTTCTACATTCTAGATTTTGCTGATTGCATTCTTGTGATGTTAACATGTTACACTTTTTTTTTTCTGTTTCTTACTGTTTTTTTTCTCTTTCCACCCTAGACTATTTCTTTGGTGTTACTATATATACTTCTATCAGGAGGCATATTATGTGTAATTATCTCTTTAAAATGTGTATATCAGTAGCCATTGATGATCTTGCTTTGATCAATTGTATCATTAGGAAGGTAATTCTTTTTTTAATAAATAGATTTTATTTTTAGGCTAGTTTTATATATATAGCAAAATTGAGAAGAAATTACTCATTTCTCATATGCCCTCTCCCCTACCATACACACAATCTAGCTTGCCCCATTGTCACTGGCTCATACCAAGGTGATACATTTATTACAACTGATGAACCAAAATTAACACATTGTTATCAGCCAAAGTCCATGGTTTACTTTAGGGTTCACTCTCAGTGTTTTTACGTCCTACAAGTTTTTACAAGTGTATAGTGATATTTATCGGCTGCTGTATTATCACATAGAACAGCCTCACTGCCTAAAATTCTTTTGTGTTCAAGCTGATCATTTTTTCCCTGCTCCTAAATGTCTGAGACCCACTGCTCTTTTCACTGTGTCCATGGGCAGAAGCCTTTTCCAGTTTGTTATATACTTAGACTCATACAGTAAATAGTCTGTTTATAGTACCTTTTTTCTACTTAGTAATATGCATTAAGGTCACTCCATGGCTTTTTATGTCTTGATAGCTCATTTCCTTTTATTTCTGAAAAAGATTCCATTTATGACTTACCATAATTTATGGTTATTACTTTTCCAACTCAAGATTTAATATATAGATGGGCTGGGGATTTAGCTCAGTGGTTCCGCCACCTCCCTTGCAAGCAGAAGGTCCCGAATTCGATCCCCTATACCAAAAAAAAAAAA